ACTCCATCATTACCCGTGGCTACGCAGGATACTGTAGAGCTGCTGGTTGCATGACAGCACGGGCAGTTTGTGTGCAGATAACATTCATCATGAGTCTTTTCTGTTGTGTGATTACAGATAGTTATTGAGGAGAGCTTGGAGCTTCCTGATTCCTCAAGTACCGTAGGTAATTTATAGGCAGATGTGGTTCTTCCTGCAGCAACACTCGAGGCCCCCTGCACCACAGTTGCCTGGGTGTTGTTGAGAACACAGCCTTGGGGCCCAGGACTTTCCAGCCGGTGACTTAGATGTCTGTGGGCTCACAAACATTGACAGGAGCCTTGATGCTTGGAGGCCAAGGTGCTATTTAGGTGTCAGCTGGGACTGAAGCGGTTTACACGCCACAATTGAAAAAAGCAGCAGAGAGTGGCCAGAGTATGCTAACCAGCTGGCTTCTGAACAACTGTTTCACACTTGGAAGGATTTCCTGTGGTTGAGTTCAGCTGTATGGAATATTTTCTCTAGTCGGCAGCGAAGCCAGTGATGACTGCTAGCAGTTCTTCCGCTAGTATTTATTGAGCACTTACTGTGTTGCCACATACTGGACAAGGCCCTGGCGAAGAGCGGGCTGAGCTGGACCCTTGCGGTCCCTGTTTTCACAGAATACAGAGTCTGTTCCAGGGGTTGGCAAACTCTGGCCCATGGGCCAAGTCAGGCCCGTCAGCTTGCATCCTGTTCACGAGTTTAGAATGGGTTTTGCGTTTTCAAATGGTTGAAGAAAAATCAAGGAGAGGAATAGTATTTTGTGACATGTGAAAATCGTAAGAAGTTCAGATTTCAGCATCCCAAAATGTTGCAAGAACACAGCCATGCTTGTGCGCTGTACGTGCTAACCTGTGACTGCTTTTCAGTTCAGTAGGAGAGTTGAGTGGTGCAGGCATCTACCTTGTGTCCTCAGAGCCTAAAATATTTAGCATCTGGCCCTTCACCGAGGTTTGTCGACTGCCGCTCTATCCCTGTGGCAGGAAGAATTCCCTGGATATTGGGGATCCCCAGGAGAGTCTGACGCCCTTTTGTGTAATCACAGACTGGGGGACATGGATTTGGTCAACTCTAGCAGCACAGATCTGGGATCTATGGAGAAGACTCCTGGACCTCTGATCGCACACTTGTTTCATTGGGTACTAGGTATGCTGGGATGCTGTTTCCACAAGCTCATTTTTTGCTAAAATACATTTCTGCAGCTGAAAAAGCTGGGTCTCTAAGGAACATTGAAAATTCCAGGCCACTCAGTCCTGAGTGTTTATTCCTGTCATGGTGCTTGGGCATCCCTGTCAGTAATCAGCTGGGCATCAAAGGTTACTCGTACCTTCTTTCAGCCAAAACCACAGTAAGGTCCTGAGTGCGGCTGAATTACCTGATTCATATTTTCTCTGTGTCATCCCCCTAGCCTCATTCAGTTTGCTCAGACCCAGCAGTTGTTGGTGACGGTGGGAAAAATCCCTTAATCAAGAAGATGTTTAAGATTTTCTATTATTTTTCCCCATAAGGAAAGCAGCCCCTTGGGCATCTGTCGTATGTTTGACAGCATCTTACTTTAGTCTCACATTTGTAACACACCTTCAGCCGTGTGATTATTGTCCTTTGGAAATGGTTACAACAACTTTGGCCATGTGATGCAGAGGCTCTCCCAATTATTTGTAGACATTGACCAAAATTATCCCTATGCTGCCAGGTGATGGGAACAGTTACCAGAACTCACTGGGCTGTATCTGAGCCGCACACGGTCGCAGAGAGGCCTTTCCTGAGAGGTCTTGCGTCCTGCAAGTAGACAATGCATACAGGTCTTCAAAGCCTGAGAAAAAATTGGGTCTGAAATAGCCTGCAGATATTTAAAAGCTTTATTTTTGTTTTTCTGACCTTGCTGTTAAGAGCAATCTGCTTCTTTATGTTATAAACAGAATAGCATTTAATTTCTGTTCAAGTGGCTTTTTCTCAAGCCACTTTCAGTGTCTTGGTTTGGCTGACAGGCACAATTGAAACAGTGTGTGGATGTCACCTAGGAAATCCCGAGTCTCACGGTGCCGCCCTGACCAGAGGCTGCAATGCTTCATTCATTTTTTCAGTGAAATACTAAATCTCTAAATTGTAACAGGAAAGTGTCAGAAAGCAAGCCCATAAGGTTAGCAAGTGTGGGAGCACCTTATGGCAAACGTTTGGTCTTGAGGAACTGTAGGGAGAGGCCACATGTGTTCAGGGTCTCTTGTTGGTGTGAGCTCCCCCAGCGGGGCCCACGGCCTGCAGGTGTGGGAAGCAGGCACCTGCCACCCCCTGGGAGTGCCTAGGGCAGCCAAGGTCCAGGCACAGAACCCTGTGCTGTCCCAGACACCTGCAGGAGGATCCATGTTTGTCACCAGATTTTGAATTGATTTATTTTCTAAGTCTTTAAACAAACAAACAAAAGGGGTTAGATTCTGACAAAGAGTGAAGTACTTCGTAGGCTGATGTTGAGAGCACAGAGAGGGAAAACCATCTTCCTGCACAAATGTGGAATCCCCAGTCGCTGGGAGAGGGCAGTTGTCCCGGAGTCCCCACTCCACACCCCTCTCTTTAAGGGCGCCCCGGGTTGAGCTGCAGGTATTTAAAGGGAGACCCAGAGGCGAGAGTATTCCCGCTCTGCTTCCTTGAGGGAAGGTCTGGAATAATACGTAGTGAGCACTGAAATTATGCTTTGTTACGTGAAGTGTTGGTTGTCTAGTTCCCGTAAATTGTATGTCACCTGTTAAAACAACCCTAACCCCGTGGATGGTTTTACAAGACTTGTAACCTGATAGAGGTTGATGTTTTATTTGAATTTACACAGATTTGTGATTTAATGATCAGACTGATATTTGGGATCAGCAGTTTTAGTAGCACATCCAAAATATTTTGGAGTTAACGTGATAGAGCATGGAGCTGGAAGCTTTTGTTTTTATTCTCTCTTTTTACGAGAATATAAGTTTCCCAAGGGGTGAAAAAAACTGCAGCCTTCTTGGCCTTTAACCCCTTCTCTTCCCCGATTCCAACAGTCCGTCAAGGTGCTCATTTATGTAGAGAGCAGTGCATGGCAGGATGTCCATGTTGCAAGAACGTTTGCCCCAAATCAGGAATAGCTGACCCCGAGAGTCCCGTGCACACTCCCCATGTGCATGCAGATGCACAAGTGTCCTTCTCAGTGGTGCTGGGTTTCGGGAGGGAGCCGCTGTAGTTCCCACGTGTGGCTGTGGGTCTTGTGAAAAATGAGGGTCCACAAACTACACCAGAGTTGTGCCCCCCCCGCCCCCCACCCCCGCCAAAGACTCTCAACCTGGAGTCCAGGAAAGGTCCTCACGTGGTAAGCTCCACACCTGCACCAGGGTGCTTGGTCTTGGCCACGTGTCCCAGCCAACTGAGGAACGAGCGGATGCATGAGTGAACAAAGAGATACAGAGCACAGGGACCTTCCCTCAGAAATCTCAGCTTGTGTGCTCGCTGGTTGAAGCCCAGCTGCGTTTCCCAGAAGTTCACCAGTATCTCTGGGTATGGACAGGCTTGAAAACTGCTCTGTTACTGGTATCACTTAGAAGCTGTGTGCACAGCGGCGCCTGGGTGGCTCAGTCGTTAAGCGTCTGCCTTCGGCTCAGGTCATGATCCCAGGGTCCTGGGATCGAGTCCCACATCGGGCTCCCTGCTCGGCGGGAAGCCTGCTTTTCCCTCCCCCACTCCCCCTGCTTATGTTCCCTCTCTTGCTGTGTCTCTCTCTGTCAAATAAATAAATAAAATCTTCAAAAAAAAAAAAAAAAGCTGTGTGCCCAGGTCATACATTAGTCGAGCACAACAGAAGCAGTAATTGTGTCAGAGTCCAGGTGAGAAGTGGGAAGAAGGGGCCAGGGTTATTTTTTATTATTTTTCTAAATTTTATTTTAAGTCATCTCTGCACGCATCATGGGGCTCAAACTCACGACCTCAAGATCAAGAGTTGCATGCTCTTCCGACTGAGCCAGCCAGGCACCCTGGGAAGGGACCACATCTCCAGGAAAGAACGTGTTTGTCCATTTTCCATTCAGATAACGTCGTGTGTGGGGGGGTGATCAGTTCATTCACGCCACAGCAAAGAATTCTTAGTTACCTGAGAAATGTTTGCTCCTTCCTCCAGTCTGTGACCATAGTAGGATGACTTCCTGCACGTACAGCTCTTTGGGAGCAGTGACTCCAGTGGGCAGAGGCCCGTCCTCTGGGGGCCCAAGGGGGTGAAGGCTCGGGACGTCTTGGCCACAGCTAGTCAGTCGTGTGAGGTGCTGCCTCTGTAGGGTAGGGGTCTGCTGGGAGGCCTCAGCCTCGACAGAGGAAATGGGACATTCATCTTTGTTTGCTCGCTGTCTAGGAAAGACGTGAAAGGGAGAATCCTGTCTTTTTCTCTTCACGTGAATTTAGATTTTCTGAGACATAAATTGAAAAACTTAATTAGCTCTTTAGGTCAGGCTGATAGAAACTGGAGTTCTTAACTGTTATGACAGACTCCATAACCCTTGAAAACAGATAAGCAGGTGTGCAGCTGTACTGTAGAATTCGTAGATGACATGGACTTCAGTAACCTTTTAAATGAAGAATAATGTATGTTGAAATTTACCCTTCAATATTACTAATTTAAAATGTTCCCTAAAGGGTTTTGGACAACTTTTTTTTTTTTGGTAGAACAAGTGATTCTACATCATGTCATTATTATGTCATCATTTGTTTTATCTGAAAATGGTTGAAGTTCTGAATATCAAGAAAAAATGCATAATTCTGTAAGGTATTATGTCAAATACAACAACTTCCATTTTATTGTCACATTAAATGCTATGCACGTTTCAAAGATTTCTTTGTATCAAATACGTTGGAAATAGTGCATCTTTTGATAGTCTTTGCATACTGTAATCTTTTATGTATAAAAGTCTTTTACATGAATACAGACCTGTAAATAATCACATTTTATATCTGGCCTTTTCTATTTTTAACAGAGCATCAAGAAGAAAAACACAAACAAACAGGAGATGAGCACATACTTGCGGTTCATCGTCTCCCGCATGAAGGAGAGGGTAAGTCCTACGGAGGGTCTCAGGACCTCCCAGAGTGTGCTCCAGTCCTGTCCCTTCCTGGCCAGGGAGTAAGGGACACGGAACCACTTACCAGCAGCATGAAGGGTGTAGAATGCTGCCGCCGAAGCTCCTTTGTACATAAGAGGCTTGTTTTGACGGGCATTTCTTCAGCTGCATTAGATTAGATCGTCACTGCTTCTCTCTGCTGATACATTTCTATTGGTTCATCTTTTATTTTTCAAAACCTTTAATTGAAGTGTAGTGGGCATGCAGTATTCTATTAGTGGCAGGTGTACAACACCATGATTTGACATTTGTCTACATAACTCAATGCTCCCCACTAAGAATAGTCACACAGTGTCATGACAGTGTTATTAGCTGTGTTCCCTATGCTGCCCTGTTTGTCCTTGTGACTTAACCTATTTTACAAGTGGAGGTTTGCACCTATTCCTGTCCATCCCTGACCCTCCCCGTCTCTGGCAACCACCAGTTCTCTGTATTTAAGAGTCTGTTTCTTTTGGTTGGTTGGTTGGTTGGTTGTTTAGATCCCATGTACACGTGAAATCATATGGTATTTGTCTTTCTCTGACTGGCTTATTCCGCTTAGCATAACACCCTCTAAAAACACCCTCTACTTCTATCAGTGTCAGTGCAAATGGTAGGTATTCATCCTTTCTGATGGCTGAGTAATATTCCATTGTATATATGGACCACATCTTCTTTATCCATTCATCTGTTGAAGGGCATCTCGGCTTCTTCCACAGTTTGGCTATTGTGAACATTGCTGCTATGAGCATTGAGGGGCATGTGCCTCTTCTTTTCACTACATCTGTATCTTTGGGGTAAATATCTAGTAGCGCAATTGCTGGATCATAGGGTAGCTCTATTTTTAATGTCTTAAGGAACCTGCATACTGTTTTCCAGAGTGGCTGCACCAGCTTATATTCCCGCCAACAGTGTAGGAGGGTTCCCCTTTCTCTGCATCCCTGCCAACATTTGTTGTTCCCTGTCTTGTTAATTTTAGCTATTCTAACTGGTGTAAGGTGGTATCTCCTTGTGGTTTTGATTTGAATTTCCCTGATGGCTAATGATGTGGAGCATTTTTTCATGTGTCTATTAGCCATTTGGATGTCTTCTTTTAAGAAATGTCTGTTCATGTCTTCTGCCCATTTCTTAACTGGATTACTTGTTTTCTTGGGTGTTGAGTTTGATAAGTTCTTTATAGATTTTGGATACTAATTCTTTATCAGATATGTCATTTGGAAATATCTTCTCCCATTCTGTGGGTTGCCTCTTTGTTTTGTTGACTGTTTCCTTTGCTGTGCAGAAGATTTTTATCTTGATGAAGTCCCAAAAGTTCATTTTTGCTTTTGTTTCCCTTGCCTCGGGACATATCCAAAAAATATTGCAAAGTTGATGTGCAAAAGTTTACTGCCTATGTTTTCTTCCAGGATTTATATAATTTCAGATCTCACATTTGGGTCTTTACTCCATTTTGAGTTTATGTTTATATGTGGTGTAAGAAAGTGTCCAATTTTGGGGCACCTGGGTGGCTCAGTCGGCTAAGCGTCTGCCTTCGGCTCAGGTCATGATCCCAGGGTCCTGGGACTGAGTCCTGCATCGGGCTTCCTGCTCAGCGGGAAGCCTGCTTCTCCCTCTACCTGCTGCTCCTCCCTGTCCCCCCGCTGCTTGTGCTCTCTTGATCTCTCTCTCTGTCAAATAAATAAATAAAATCTTCAAAAAAAAAGAAGTGTTCAATTTTTCCAGCACCCTTTAATGATGCTCCACATCATTAGCCATCAGGGAAATTCAAATTCAAATCAAAAGTGGTCCTTTCGTCCTTCTCCCTATTGTATATTCCTGCCTCCTTTGTTGTAGAAACATTAATATTTTTACATTTTTAATTCCATTTATCAAAATGAACATTTTCATTGATACTGTCTAAAACGAAGTGGAATTTTCCAAAATGTTCTTTCTATCAAACCCTAAAAATGTCACATTAAACTATATAGTACATGCACATTTTTCTGGTAAGTTCTATTGTTGAGAAATTTTCACTTGTCTCTCTCGGGCTGTGTTTGAAAGTGATGTATCTGCTGACCTTTCAGGCCATAGACCTTAATAAGAAGGGCAAGGACAACAAGCACCCGATGTATCGGAGGCTGGTGCACTCGGCGGTCGATGTCCCCACCATACAGGAGGTAAAGCCAGGCCCTTGGTCCTATTTCCGATACACCCAGAGCTCCCAGGTGACTCAGCAGCTCCCAACTGCACATGATGCTGGTGCCATTCTTCCCTGAGGGAGTGCCTGCCCATCCTCTTCCTAAAACATAAGCGGCAGGGCCCCTGTCGGGGGCATTGCTGCTGCATAGATGCCGTGTACCTGCTCTGTGCACACATCGGGCGTCCTCGGTGAACGGCCTGGTGTGAAGCCCCCTGTCGCTTCTTGAGAGGCCGTGTAGTCGGGTCAACTTAATGTTTCAGATTCGAGGATTCCCATCTGGACGTGGTTTCTTAGCTTGAGCATCTGCTACTCAGAGGCTCTGTCAAGGAAACATTAGAATAGGACTAGAGTCCTGGGAAGCAATGAAATGAACCTGAACACACAAAGATTGTAACCAGAAAACTTAACTATTCTTAGAGTTCTTAATTTTACCTTTCCTAGCCAAGGATTGTTGATGGGTTTGTTAATATGTAATTATAAGTTGCAATAAAATCCAGTTAAAACATTTAACATGTTTCTAGTTAGGGTTGCTAAATTACTAATTCTGTACTTGACGTGTCATTTTGAATGTAAGACCTTATGGTTGGCCATAATAGTTTATAGGGAGACCATAGGAATAATTCTAAGTCATTTTACAAGTTTCTTAATCCCTTGGCCGCAGGGAAAGACTGAAGGGGTAGTAGTTCAGTAGAAGAGGGGAAATGAAGGTTGGTCCCTATAAAGTGGCCAGCAGAGCCTGGAACAAAACAAGGAGTTTTCACCTGACCTCCTGCCCCCAGGTTTCGTGTCCTCAAGCAAAGCCTATTTTCCTAGACCCTAATGTCCTGAGGACACTGAAGAGCCCAGCTGCCCTTCCTGCCCCCCTCATGCCCCCACCTTTGCTCGGCTTCTTCTTCTCCTGAGGGCACCTCCATGCTTCCCCTAGTCGGGTCCTGTCTGATTGTAGAGAACACCAGCTGGGCTGACGGTGTCTTAGCTTTGTGTTTAGCAAGTGCCGTCCATGAACAAACAGCACTGTAAGGAAAAGAAAGAGGAAGACATGACTTTATATCTTCAGGAGCTTGCAGTATAGACCAAAGTCGAGGCCACGATGGTGCAAACGTTGGAAATCACAGAGTTGCTTTGAGAATGCTGGTTGTGTATCAGATCACCGGGGAGCTGTAGACCATACCAGTGCCTGGGCAGACCGAGCCCAGGGCAGTCAGAAATTCAGAGTGGGGCTCAGATGTCAGTATTTGTCAATAGGCCCCATGACCATCAATGGCACATAGGGGCAAGCACCTCCAGCAGGGGGCATCCTGCAAGCCTTCTTGAAGAAAGGACAACTGGAGTGGGTCTCGGAGGATTTCAACAGAAAGGCGGGATCTTAGCTATTCTTTAAAGGCCTTTGTAGTCTACATTATTTTCAAGCTGATTTCCTAAAAGTATCACCAAGATAAGAAAATGCCTCCCTGCTACTTCTAAATAACTTTGCCATACCCTTCTTCCAAAAACTTTGCCTCCCCTGCAAAAACCCCTCAAATTCCCTCCATAATCCTTCTCTCTGGCAGCTGAAGGCAAAGCAACAGAGAGCCCAGTGATGGAAATCCTTCGTATACAGCGTCTAGTGTAGGAGGAACCCTTGCGTGGCATGCACCTAGGACCTTATTTTAAAGTTATTTATAATTCACTTCCCAGTCCCACTTCAGAATTATAAATGTGTCTTCTTCGTGGTCATGGTAAAGCGTCACAGAGGCTAACAGTGGTTGTCTTTTTTCAGTCTTTGTACAGTGTGTTGTACAGATGGTAGGTGTGTAGTTCGGGTCTCCCTAGCGCACTGAGCAGAGCTCCCCTTCGTCACAGCGCTCAGAAGCAGTGTGTTTTCATCGCCGCAGAATGAGAGGTGCACGTGGCAGGCGGAGCTCAGCCGGCAGCTTAGCGGGGTGGGCGGGGGCCGCCTGACCGTGATATTCCAGCTGCAGGTGGGCTTGTCCAGGTCCTCACATGTGTCCCTTCCGTGCTGTGGGACATGGGAGCGGTCATAGTGTCCTGGAGAGTTCTGCTGTGTCCCCGTGCTCTAACCCTGTCTGTGTAATACTAGACTCTGTCGCCCTCTGCAGAAGGTGAATGAAGGAAAGTACCGAAGTTACGAAGAATTCAAAGCGGACGCTCAGCTGCTTCTGCACAACACCGTGATTTTCTATGGAGGTTGAATGGTTTTTCTTTTCTGTGCATGTTTCTCCATACTATTTACGTTCTGTGTCGGGAAATACCTTTGACAGAACATACATTCAAAACATTAATACCTTAATGATTTCTAAGTAATAATGTCAGGGTCTCAACTCAAAAATATTTGGTAATGTGGTTTTGGCTTATAAAAGTGGCCCAGAACTCCAGCACAGTAAATGATGAAAACGTTATTCCTTATAGTTTTAGACATAAACTTAGTTGAAGGGCTTTTTATAAGCACTTTGATTAATTAATGTCCCATCATTCCAAGGGAAAGATAGAGGCCGTCTGGACCTAGAGGTTCAGTGCTCTCTTGAAAGCAGCATGAAAGCTGCCCGTAAAATGTTGTTTTGCTGCCTGAACTTTATTTAGAATAGACATCTTTGTTTAAAATGGTACCTGTCCACTTGTGTCTCCCTGAAAGAAATGTAAATGTATTACTTGGGGCCGTCTTGCGTTTCTAGATTACTGGTAATAGGTCATCTCTGCCTTTAATTACAGCAGACAGTGAGCAGGCGGACATAGCACGGATGCTGTACAAGGACACCTGTCACGAGGTACCGCCCACCCCCCACAGTGCGACACCGGCCGCACTCCAGAGTTCCACTCTCACACGCCTTCAGCTTTGCCATTCCCCTTAAATATAGTTTTGTTTCCATGTCTGACATACATGGAAATAATGCTGCCAGAAATCCTGGGAGTTAGATCTAGTTGTTAAGTAACTTCTACGAAGAAAGTTTGTTTCCTCTTCTGTAACTGCTCTCAAGGGTGTTGGTTACGTGAGGCAGGCAGGTGTGTGGCACTGGGCAGACACTCAATAAATGTTAGCCTCTTTTTTATTTTTACGTTGAAGTGTAGTTGACATACATTGTTGTGGTAATGTCAGGCTTCCAAGTCCACCCATCATTCACTGCTCATCTGGACAAGCGTAGTGCTTCCCGCACCACACAGCGTCATTACACTGTGACTGACAGCATCCCTGCTCATCCCTGAGACAGACTAACTTTATGGCTGACGGGGCCCCCCACCCCCCCTCCCCTCTGCAACCACCAGTTTGTTCTCTGTGTTCATGAGTTGCTTTTATTTTTGTTGTTTGTTTGGTTGGTTTTTCAGATTCCACATATGAGTAAAATCACATGGTATTTGTCTTTCTCTGACTGACTTATTTCACTTAGTATAAGACTCTCTAGTTCCATCCATGTTGTTGCAAATGGCAAGATTTCATTCTTTTTGATGGCTGCGTAATATTCCATTGTGTATATACCACCTCTTCTTTATTCATTCATCAGTGGACATATGGGCTGTCTCCATAGTTTGGCTATTGTAAATAACACTGCTATAAACATCAGGGTGCATGTGCCCCTTTGAATTAGTGTTTTTGTTTCCTTTGGGTAAATATCTACTAGTGCACTTGCTGGATCACAGGGTAGTTCTATTTTTAACTTTTTGAGGAAACTCCATACTGTTTTCCAGAGTCGCTGCACCAGCTTGCATTCCCACCAACAGTGTAGGAGGGTTCCCCTTTTTCCGCATCCTCACCAACATCTGTCGTTTCCTGACTTGTTTTCTCATTGTGGTTTTGATTTGTATTTCCCTGATGTCAAGTGATACTTAGCATTTTTTCATGTGTCTGTTGGCCATTTGTATGTCTTCTTTGAAGAAGTGTCTGTTTATGTTTTCTGCCCATTTCTTGACTGGATTATTTGTTTTTTGGGTGTTGCGTCTGAGAAGTTCTTTATGCATTTTGGATACTAGCCCTTTATCTGGTAAGACATTTGCGAATATTTTCTCCCATTCCGTCGGTTGACTTTTAGTTTTGTTGACCTTTTCCTTTGCTGTGCAGAAGCTTTTTATCTTGATGATCCCAGTAGTTCATTCTTCCTTTTATTTCCCTTGCCTTGGAGACATGTCTAGCAAGAAGTTGCTGCAGCTGAGGTCAAAGAGGTTGTTGCCTGTGTTCTTTAAGATTTTGATGGATTCCTGTCTCACATTGAGGTCTTTAATCCATTTTGAGTCTATTTTTGTGTGTGGTATGAGGAAGTGGTCCATTTTCATTCTTCTGCATGTGGCTGTCCAGTTTTCTCAACACCATTTGTTGAAGAGACTGTCTTTTTTCTATTGGATATTCTTTCCTGCTTTGTCGAAGATTAGTAGACCATAGAGTTGAGGGTCCATTTCTGTGCTCTCTATTCTCTGTTCACACTTGATCTGTGTGTCTGTTTTTGTGTCAGTACCATACTGTGTTGGTGATCACAGCTTTGTAATAGAGCTTGAATAGTTTTGTTTCCACGTCTGACATACATGGAAATAATGCTGCCAGAAATCCTGGGAGTTAGATTTAGTTGTTAAGTAACTTCTACGAAGAAAGTTTGTTTCCTCTTCTGTAACTGCTCTTGTGATGCCACCAGCTTTGCTTTTCTTTTTCAGTATTACTTTGCCTATTCAGGGTCTTTTGTGGTTCCATACAAATTTTAGGATTGTTTGTCCTAGCTCTGTGAAAAATGCTGGTGGTATTTTGCTAGGGATTGCTTTAAATGCGTAGATTGCTAATATTTTCACAATATTTGTTCTCAGTCCATGAACATGGAATGCCTTTCCATTTCTTTGTGTCATCTTCAATTTCTCTTATCAGTGTTTTATAGTTTTCAGAGTGTACAGTCTTTGGAAAAATGTCTGTTTAGTTCCTCTGTTCATTTTTAATTGGATTTTTTTTTTTGGTTTTGAGGTGTGGTAGTTCTTTATGTATTTTGGATATTAACCCCTTATTGGATATATCATTTGCAAATATCTTCTCCCCTTCATTAGGTTGCCTTTTTGTTTTGTTGATTGTTTCCTTCACTGTGCAGAAATGTTACCTCTTTAAATGAAAGATTCACGTTTGAGTTCCTATATAGATTTTACAGGCAAAAAAACCCACACCACAAAGTTCTTATTTATACAATAAATGAATTACATATTAGGGAACGTTTTTTTGATTGGACACATTCACATGAAACCATACTGAATCTTGCAAAATTGTCTTAATTTATATAAAAACTCTTGTTTCTTGATTTCAAGTTTGACCTTTGTTTTTTTCTCTCATTTCAACAAATATTTATTGAGTGCTCTGTGCTGTGCAGTGTGTTAGGGATAAAGTGGTGGTCAAGGTACTGCTCTCTGCTCATGGGGCTTTACTCTGAAGAAAGACTCAAAAAAGAAACAGACAAAATACATGTCTTTACAAGTTGTGAAAGAGTGTTAGGAAGGCAAACAAGGACTGAGGCAGAGAATGAGGAACGAGGCAGGGTAAGAACTGCTGTTGTCGGTACTGGGTATTTATGATGGGCAGGTCAGCCCGACCTGTCTGAGGACATAGCATTTCATGTGAGGGCTGACCGGTGGGACAGCAGGGGCCAGGCTGGGAGCATAGGTCGGACATGCAGGTGGTATGAACGGGAGAGTGGCTGCTATCCCAGTATTTATTGAAAAATGAAATGGTTAAGCTTAGGAAGAAAATGCAAGACTGATGATGCACATGAGAGAGAATTTTGTTAATTACACGGATCTGTTTTATATAGTTGAATGTTCATGTTTTATGTAGGCTAAAATAGTTGCTTTTCTTTTCTAGCTGGATGAACTACAGCTTTGCAAGAATTGCTTCTATTTGTCAAATGCTCGTCCTGACAATTGGTTCTGCTATCCTTGTGTATGTGAAATTTTGTGATTTTCTGTTTTTTACCTCTTAAGTGTGTGATGTACTATTCTAAGGAAGTTTATTTCCAGTTTGCTCAAGGGTTACAATCCTTCCGAGATATTTTTCTATCATAGTGTATGTGGTTTTAATGAGCATAAAACCTGAAACACAGGGTTAACAACTTGGCATCATTATCCATTTCTGACTTTAAAATGAGGAACTTAAGAATAAACTCTGGGTCCCTTAATATATAACGAAGTGAATTTCTGCCTTTTCCCTCATTCTTTCACAAGAAGGATAAGGCTTTGCGTATGCTTGTAGCTGTGTGCTGTCTCCTGGAGTGACACGATTTCAGGAAGGGTGCTCGCTCCCTGTGATTGGAGGGACAGCAGCCAGGCCCTGGGCGCCAGGGGCCGCCTCTTCAGGACCTCACTGTGCTTCCCAGGCACGTGGGTGTCTCTCTGATTCAGCAAGCCTGGAGGAGGGCCTCACACTCCCATTCCTAACCGGCTCCAAGGCATTGGTCTGCACCTCCCAGCGCAGTGAGGACATGGTGTTTACCACTGTTACTCACATGCCTCGGCTGGCCATGGGGACTGCCTTGTCCATAAGTGCTGCAGGCTGTCTCTTCTGAGAGCCGAGGGTCCACATCGCTCCTTTTATGCAGATTGCAGTTTTTTGGTATATTTCTTTTTTTTTTTAAGATTTTATTTATTTATTTGAGAGAGAGAGAATGAGAGAGAGCGAGTACATGAGAGGGGGGAGGGTCAGAGGGAGAAGCAGACTCCCTGCCGAGCAGGGAGCCCGATGCGGGACTCAATCCCGGGACTCCAGGATCATGACCTGAGCCGAAGGCAGTCGCTTAACCAACTGAGCCACCCAGGTGCCCTTGGTATATTTCTTAAAGGCAGAATCAATCTGAGAAAAAGTTCTATGGGTTTAGGAGTTAAAAAAAAAATACTTTTGAGATAATGGACTATACTTACTAGGTTGTTCATTACTAATGATGTACTTGTATTTAAAAAAACAATGTGACAAGGTAAAACATTTTATTTCCAGATACCTAATCATGAACTCGTTTGGGCTAAAATGAAAGGCTTTGGATTCTGGCCTGCCAAAGTCCTGCAGAAGGAGGACAACCAGGTGGACGTCCGCTTCTTTGGTCACCACCACCAAAGGTGAGCATGGCCCCGCCTTCACCGCTGACCTCCTGGCAACCGTGGTGCCCGCCAGGTGGTCCTTGGTGTTCGGAGAGCCCCTCCGTTAGAAACAACCTGGAACTTACTCTAATCTGGAGAAACACGTTTTTTTTTGCACTTACTATCCATTGATTTATTTTGGTTAATTATCTTTTCCTTTGTTCTTGAGAATTCAATAGAATACATAAGTACAGGGGAAAAAATGAATAAAACCAGGAAACCTACCACCCAGAATAGGAAGTCACTAATACTTTGTCATTTCTACCTTCTGTTTTGTTTTGTTTTGTTCATTTGGGCTTGTAAAGTGTTTACTCCGTTCCAGTGGGTCAGCACGTACTGGACAGTGGCCAGAGACAGTGGTGGTAGCTTCAGTGCCTGACACGGTGGGACGTGGTGAGGTAGGAGGTTGGGAGGACTCCCGGAGTGTGGCCGCTCCGCGGTCCGTGATGACTGGACGTGGTCTCAGTCGCCTTAAAGCTCTGTTCGGGCCACACACATAGTCATTGACGGGAGCAGGAGGCCGTGTGGATGCTGTGATCTGAGGTGTGTTCAGGATTACACACATGTCACTCCCAGACCTTGTTTTCAACCTAGATTTTTGGGTTCCTGTTGCTAGGGAGGTGTGTATAGCAAAGCCTGAAAGTTCACCTTTTCGTCATGTGCGAATACATGTATCCCAACAGTAAAGAATGTGAACTGTACCATGAAATCATAGCTGCCTCCTTCGTTGTGATGCCAAGACCTTAACATTTATTGAGCGGTGAAGTATGGTCCTGAGTAATACTCACTAGTAGGGCTGACTGGACGCTGACAAGGGTCCCCAGACACGGCAGCCGCAGGGAAGGCACCGCATCCAAGACGTGGTCCGCAGGCCTTTGCGAGTCCTGCAGCGCCTCCCGTGTGCCTGACACGTGGCGTTTGTGCAGTTGTCACTGCTGTGAGAAGCTACACAGCAAGGGACTGCATTCCTCTCCATAGTCTTCGTTTAAATAGAAATTCAGTGGCAAGCATTTTTAGTGGAATTTAAATAAAGAATTTAAAAAATTAAAAAGAAATAAATGAACAAGCAAAAAAAAAACCAAGTTTAGTGGCAAGAAACCTGCGACTAATTTCCAAAAGAGTAGTTCCTTTACTTCCTTCACAGACAGATGCGTGCTTAGCGGGCCCTCTCGGGGCAGGAGACATAAGTGATGCAACGTGAACGAGCTGTGGTGGTTTTCGGTGTTCTCAGTGCATCACACCCGGTGTGTTCCGTCTGCCGTGGGAACAGGCAGCGCATGAGAGGCAGGGACGCGGAGGACAGCATCGCGGCTCTGCTCTGTCTCCCCGTCGCAGACCGTTGTCTAGTCCCTCACCCACAGCCAGGGCTTCAGTAAGACCTGTCTCCAAAGAGTCCTTGCAAGGGTTAACGAAACCTTTATACACAATCACTGAAGCAGAGTGCGTGGTTGGCAGCAGGGACGTCATAAAGATACGTGTTACTGCAGATCCCACGTGACGGAAGATCTAGGTAACATAGAAAAACCAAGAATTCGGGCGGTTTGTAAAATGTTCGAACTGTTTAGTGCCTGTGTTACAGTTTTTCATCCACGTTCAGACAGGCTTACACTATCTTCAACCATGAATGGTATTTTTTTGTCCTTTAGTATATTATTCAGATCATGTTTTAAGAGAACATGTGAGCTAATCTACTTGGGTTCTGAAGAGAGAATTACAACATTACATTACATTTCCAGAGGTTTTTTTCTTCTGAATTTATTATTTCCTGGAAGATTTAATCAAAACAGTTCTGGACAGATGGGACTCTGAGGACTTTATTGTAGAAAATACAGTTGACCCTCGAACAAGAGTGAGGTTAGGGGTGCCAAGCCCCCCCAGTCAGAAATTCACATCTAACTTTTGACTCCCCTAGAAACTTAACTGAGAACAGCCATTCTGACAACATACTCTGTATGTTATACATATTCCATGCTGACGTCGTGTGTGAGGCCCTGCACAGGACAGACCCCTGCCGTCCAAGGCTCAGCTGAAAAAGATCCATGACCTCACAAGAAATCCAGAATCCTCTTCCTTTTCTGCTCCTCATTACTATGTACCCAACACGATCCTTAAAGTAAATGATGAGGACGTACCTTTAAAGTTATACTCCATCTTACTAAAATACTGGATTTATCAAAAAATGAACCTTATACAATTATAATCATGAGTTTTAATGAAGCAACATGTCACACACCAAGAAGAGATGGCTCATAAAGGCCCGAGCTGCAAATTCCCATATTATTTTTACGACATTAACCATTTTTAAGTGATCATCTCGGTGGTACTGTGTACATTCACACTGTTATTCAGCGTCACTATTAATAAATACTTCTGCCACCTCATCCTGTCTTTATACATAGGTGGGAGAAAAAAACCTTATACAAAAAAATGGTCTTGGACTCGCCTATTCTGTATGCTCTGTATGGAACGCGCTGCCCTTCCCCAAGACCCTGAGCAAGTGTCACACTCCAGGAGGAACGGCTCCATGGGAGCATGATTCTTCTAGGATTTGCAAGGTTTCCTTCCCGAGGAAGAAGTAACGGGAGAGGTTGGGCCAGCCAGCAAGGCTGACTCCCTCTGCTGCAGGTTCCTGGAGGCAGCCGGGAGTCATGGGCAGGAAGAAGCACACCATTTTGAGTTCATTTGCCAACAGATCACCGAGCTGTCGGAGAATGTGTATGTTCAGGATCGACAGATGTGTAGATACAGCCAAATTAGATTCTACTTCTTTTTATTAGACTTACCCTACTTTGCAGGATGTTTTTTGTAGATCATATTGCATAACCCGTGGTCCTCTTTAAAGTGGAATCTGATATCTGCAGTCATGGAAGGGATTCCAAGAGAACAGCCCTGCCCGTATGAACCGCATGGAGACAATACGTCTCATGTTAAGAACAGATGTGAATCAATTTTATTATATCCAAGGGATAAGTAGACAATTTAAGGAGAAAAAATACTCTCATGGGTCACAGATCATCCCAGGCAGTCCACACTGCTAATAACAGAAATCTGTCTCAGAAACCCTGCTTTTAAAAAGTGAAAACATACTTACTGACTGCCTGGTACATAATAGACAATGAATATCGTTGACTTAAAGAGTAAATACGATACTAACTCAAGATCAAATGGCAGGGAGCTCCTCCAGAAGCCAGATTTCGTCTGTGGTCTTTGTGTTAGAGTTCGGAGCTTTTAACTATCGTTTACTTTGTAGGGTTTCTAATGAAGCATGTACTGTCAGGTGAGACACTGGGTGGAATATTTAAAAACATGTACGTGGCAGTCCCAATTTCACGGGTCCAGCTGCCAGGCTATAACATTAGGACCGTGTATTGAAATTGTAAAGCACATAGCTTAGCTTGTGCTGCGAGGTGGAGGTCTGTATTCATGGCTTAGGCGTATGTGCCGTGACTCCCTCGGTCCCTTTGGTCCTCAGGCAGGGGTCTGAGCCCCCGTCACTAGGCCACCGGTGGAAGCTGACCGCGTGCGCTTAGAAGACTAGGAAGAATAAATCTGTGTGTGAGGTGCTCTTTCCCCACTTGGTGCTCTAGAGAACATCTCGTGCACCTTACTGTTTTCTGTCTCATTTGTGCCCCTCCCTCTGCTGGGATTCTCTCCCCTCCTGTGGCACTCGCATCCTTTGAGATCCAGCCCAGCTGCCGCCCTCCTCTCTCCAGAACATCCCCGAGGCCCCCTGGCCACAACGCCGCATCGCACTGTCCTCACTTCTCGGTTGGGACACACTCCCTTCCCGGCAGAGGCTGTGTGTGCCGGCACCACGCAGTCCTGCCCCGAATCACCGGCTTACCCTAGCCCGTCTGGGCGCCAGCTCCTGCCGCTGTCGGGTGAGGCAGGATCCCACGGTCAGGCCCCATTTACTCTGGAGTGTGTCGTGCCGTCGGTGGGCACACAGGCAAGTCCAGTCAAGGTGTGAGTGCCTAGGAAAATGTTCTTGAGTTTTTAGCCTTCTTCCCAGCAGAGCTGCATGTAGTTTTGCATCCAGTAGTTTTGGATCAGTATTACACATAATTCAGAGACACTTTCATATCTGAGTTCTTGGCTGCTGAACGATAAATCATTAGTGATGATTTGTGTAGTGAATACGGATGTGCTAGCAATGTCAGGGAGTGGGGAACAGAGTTGGGATGCCCTTGTGTTGTATGTCCGATCTGTGTATACTCACGACCTGCAGCTCTCGTCTGCCCAGAGCCAGGTGTGAGCGCCTTCCTGGGCAGGTAGGAGCTGTGACACGCTGACCTGGCTAACGGAAGCTGTGGGCAGTGCTGAGGTACGCGTGAGTCGTCCCGCTCTGAGAACTGTTCTCACCCACTTCCTCCTGGGTGAGTGTCTGCATTGCAGCCGTCACCCACGGTCGCTGGGCGTGGAGTCACCCCAGGCCCTGCTTTGCACTGGATAGAGTGTACTAGCATTCTGGAAGTTTCCAACTGTGCCTCTGGTGTTTCTTGAAGGGCCTGGATCCCATCGGAAAACATACAGGACATCACAGTGAACGTTCACCGGCTGCACGTGAAGCGCAGCATGGGCTGGAAGAAGGCTTGTGACGAGCTGGAGCTTCATCAGCGCTTCCTTCGTGAAGGAAGGTTCTGGAAGTCCAAGAACGAGGACCGAGGGGAGGAGGAGGCGGAGTCCAGCATCTCATCCACCAGTAACGAGCAGGTGGGTGTCCCCGCGGGAGGCTGCCTGTCAGTCACTGTGGATGGGAGCGCGGTTAGCGTGCACTCCTCCCCTCGTACCACACGTTGGTCGAGCGCTCTGCCGCAGGAATCAAAACAGGCAGTCCACAGCCCGGGTCCTGACTCACCAGCGAGCCAGCCAGTGCGCAGCACGCCAGCCCCCGTCCCTGCCCTGTGCGGGAGCTCTGTGTGTGGGGGCTGCGTGGGCTTGAGGGGGCAGGTTACTCACGGCTCACCTGCGGGCCCCTGGCCAGTGTCCGTACTGTCTGGAATAACATGCTGCCCCTCTTATGATGCCCGCAGCTAAAGGTCACTCAGGAACCAAGAGCAAAGAAAGGACGACGTAATCAAAGTGTGGAACCCAAAAAGGAAGTAAGTGGCCCGCGTTGCAGCGTCCAGGTGGCATTGTGCTGGCCACGGTCATGACAGTTTGGTCCAGCAGTGCCCCTGAAACGCTGCCGTCAGGGGCCCCATCTTCTGCCCGCCCTCGTCGCTAGAAAAACGCGCACACCCACAGTCTGCATCTGAACTCTGATATTTACTCAGCATTATTGAAAACAAAGCATTTACCCAATCCTTCAGTTAGGTCAACGTTGAAAAACTGGAGGAAAGTATAAGCTCAGCCTTTCAAAATTACAGATTCATGCTCTAAAACCAGGTGTTCCTCTTGGCACAATTCCAGATGCTTACTCAGGGAGGAGTGGTTTAGAACTTTAGGATGTCTGTTAATGAATCTAGTCCACAGCACCGACTCTACATTGATAAGGGTTTTCTGTTTTATATATTTCTGTTTAGTCTGAGAAGCGAAGACCGTAGTGTTCATTTGCAACAAACTTATAGACAAAGTTCCTGTTTCCAATTATCGTGGCTATTAATTGCATAGACGTTTTTGGGGTTTTTTCTGTCGGTTTAGTTGTGCTAAAATACACAGAATTTGCCGTCTTGATTGCATGGGCTGTAATAGTAGCTCGTCACCATCGTTCTGGTCTGACCAAGCTTGCTCTTGAACCAGTGGGCGGTCGGGCGGCATTGTGTCACGTCTGCGTACTGTTCTTGTCCTATAGGAACCAGAGCCGGAGACGGAAGCTGTGAGTTCCAGCCAGGAGATCCCCACGATGCCTCAGCCAATCGAAAAGGTTTCTGTGTCCACTCAGACCAAGAAGTTAAGTGCCTCTTCCCCACGAATGCTGCATCGAAGCACCCAGACCACCGGTGACGGCGTCTGTCAGAGCATGTGCCACGACAAATACACCAAGATTTTCAATGACTTTAAAGACCGAATGAAGTCTGACCACAAGCGAGAAACAGAAAGAGTTGTGCGGGAAGCTCTGGAAAAGGTAAAGCTGCCCTCCCAAGGACCCCGAGCATGACAGGAGTTCTCGGATAGCGTTCCCGTGGGCCCAGCCAGGCAGCTCCTTTAAAACTAGGCACATCTTAAGGTGGCATTTTAATTAATAATAATACCTGTTTTCCTTCACCTAAGACGTGTACAGCCTTTGAGGAAATAAAGGGAAGAGGTACATCCGTTAAGTAGAAACTGTGGAGGAAGGTTCTTTCGGGGGAGGTGGTCCATGTCCATCGAGGGCGGACAGTTACGGGCTACCGTTTTCATTCCAGCTGCGCTCGGAAATGGAAGAAGAGAAGCGACAAGCTGTAAATAAAGCTGTAGCCAATATGCAGGGTGAGATGGACAGAAAATGTAAGCAAGTAAAGGAGAAGTGTAAAGAAGAGTTTGTAGAAGAAATCAAGAAGCTAGCGACACAGCACAAACAGCTGATTTCTCAGACCAAGAAGAAGCAGTGGGTAAGTATCTGTATGATTTCAGTCTGACTTGTGAACATGTTCCACCCAGTGTGCGGACGGTGAAACGCTGTGTGATGAAACTCAGCTCAGAATGACCTTGTGGAATATGGGATGTTTATACCTGAAATAAGGGCAGATGTGAAATGATCAGCTTTAAAGAATTTTTACATTTTTACTAAAAGTCCTCTCCTCTGTGAACTCCACGACCCACGTTACTGAGTATTGCTCAGGGTTATTTTGTTGAGTATATGAACGTTCAGTGCATGCTCATTGTGTCTGATGGACAGGACTTAGCCATCGGTGCACGTCCTGTGCCCTGACGTTTGCCCGCTAACTCCTGACACGCTTGGTGTCCGCATCACAACAGCACATTTTTAGGTTTTGCTGCATAACATTTATACATTAGATCCTTTTTACTCGATTTGCTTTCTGATGGCATCTCACTGGACTCTAACTCCTCTTAGAATCTGACACACGGTTCCTTTTTCTCCGTGTCATGTTTGTGACTCTTGCCCTAGATTGGGAGCTCTGAGCGCACCTGTCTACTTGTCTCAGCTAACTGTTGGGGAAAACGTTTTGGTCCCCAAAACTCATAACTTGGTTTCGTAATGAATTACTGTAAGAAGTGTTGCGATTCTTCACTGGATCCAGACTACATTTTGTGAAGAGGGTCTTTCTATGTCCAGTAAATGTTCCCTCAGGAAAGTGAATGTTATAAATACTGTGATAAAAAAAGGAAAAGGGAACTTAGCATGTAATTCAGAACTTGGTAGAAAAAGCAGATGAGTAAGGAAATAAATATCACCCAATGGGAATTAAGGTGTGCTCAAGATCATCACCACACACAGTCCCCGCACTCGTCTGTAATTCTGTCTTCACGCAAAGACAAGCAAAAGCTAAAAAGTGGGCACTAGACTTACGGGAAAAACCCCTGTAAGTTTACTGAAGAATCAAAGAAACGGGAAGAGGAGGCTGGAACAGGGAATAGCACACTGCTGTTTCAGCCTTTCCCAGCTGTGAGGCCGCCGGAGCGCCCCGCGGCACCCGGCTCTCCGCTCCCTCTGCGCATCTCCAGCCTGTTGCAACAGCCGAGTTGCCGTCTGTCTGCCGGGTATGTGTACCGCATCTTCTTTGTCCACTCGTCCGCTGATGGACACTTAGGTTCTGTGCTTTGGTGAATACGCTGCAGTGAAGTGGGGCTGCCGATATCTTTTCTGTGTCCTGATTTCATTTCCTTTGGACAGACACCCAGTAGTGGGATTGCTGGGGCGCAGGGTAGCTCTATTTTTACATCTTGAGGAACCTCCATACTGTTCTCCACACTGGCTGCACCAGCTTGCATTCCCACCAGCAGTGCACGAGGGTCCCCTGTCTCCGCCTCTTCGCCAGCACTTGTTATTTCCTGTCTTTTTGGGTCTAGCCGTTCTGACAGGTGTGAGGCGGTACCTCATTGTGGTTTTGATTTGCGTTTCCCTGGTGCTCAGTGACGTCGAGCGTCTTCGCATGTGCTTATTCTTGTATCTTTGGGGATGTGTCTCCTCAACTTCTTTGCCCGTTTTTGAGTCAGGTTGTTAGTATCAGAAGTTTTGTATATATTCTGGATGTTCTTTTTATTTTTATTTATTTATTTTTTTTTAAAGATTTTATTTATTTATCAGAGAGAGAGACAGACAGAGGCAGGCAGAGGGAGAAGCAGGCTCCTTGCTGAGCAAGGAGCCCGATGTGGGACTCGATCCCAGGACCCTGGAATCATGACCTGAGCCGAAGGCAGAGGCTTAACCGACTGAGCCACCCAGGTGTCCCCTGGATGTTAATTCTTAACCAGATGTATGATTTACAGATATTTTTCTCAGTCTACTCTGTAGACAGTGTCTCCTGATGTACGTACGACCTTTTAGAATTTTTATGAAGTCACTTCATTTTTTCTTTTGTTGCCTGTGCCTTTGGTCACATCCAAGAAATCATTGCCAAATCCAGTGTCGTGAAGCTTTTGTCCTACGTTTTCTTCCAGAGTTTTATCGTGTTAGGCCTTACATTGAGGTCTTTGATCCATTTTGAGTTAATGTGTGTGTGGGCTGTTAGGTAGGGGTCCAGCCTCCTCCTTTGCATGTGGAGATGCAGTGTCCCCAGCCCATTCTGTTGAAAAGACTGTCGGCTCCCCATCGAGAGATCTTGGCATCCTCGTCAAAAGTCCTTACACTATGTGAGGGTTTCTTTCTGGGCTTTCTGTTCACCTCCCCTCGTCCGTCTGTCTGTTTTTATGCTAGTTCACCTCCCTTCGTCCGTCTGTCTGTTTTTATGCCAGTACCACGTGGTTTGGTTACTGTAGTTTTTGTAGTAGGTTTGAAATGAGGAAGTGTGAGTCCTCTAGTTTCTCCTTCTTGTCTTCAAGATGATTTTGGCTATTTGGGGTCCATTGAGATTCCACATGAATTTTAGGATGGGTTTTCTATATCTGAAAAAGTTTGAGATTTTGGTAGGGATGGCACTGAATCTGTAGATGGCGTTGGGTCCTGCTGACATTTTAACAGTATGATGTCCTCCAATCCACAAACACGGGGTGGGTTTCCATTTGTTCATGTCTTGAATTCCTTTCAGCAGTATTAGGTAGTGTTTGTTGTGCAGGCTTTCCCTCCTTGGTTAAGTTAATTCCTACGTATTCTTCTTTGAGCGATTTTAAACAGAATTGTTTTCATCGTTTCCTTTTGAGATTGTTCATTGTTCCTGTTAGAAATGCAGCTGATTTTATGACTTTGCGTCCTGCTACATTGCGGTATTCATTTGTTCTAAAGAGCTTTGTTCTGGAGTCTTAGGTGTAGAAAACTCTGAAGATCAAACCATATGCAAACAGGTAAGTTTATTCAAGTATGGATCTCATTTTTTTGCCTGGTTGCCGTGGCTAGAACTTCCTGTACTCTGCTCAGTACAAGTGGTAAAAGTGGGTGCATTCTTGCCTTGTTCCTGATTTTAGAGGAAAAACTTTCAGTGTTTCACTAAGTGTGATGTTTGCTGTGGGTTTTTCATAGGTGGCAGTTTCCTTCTATTCCTGTTGAGTGTTTATCATGAAAGGGTGTGTTGCATTTTGTCAGATGCTTTTTCTACATCAGTTGAGATGCTCATGTGGGTTTTTTCCTCGTTGTGTTGCTGTGCATATTACAGATCGATTTTCGTATTTTGGATCACTCTTGTGTCACAGGACTATGTCCCACATGGTTCTGGTATAGAATCCTTTTACTGTGCTGCTAATCTTTTGTGGAGGATTCTGTCCCACTGTTCAGAAGGCATCCTGATGTATAGTTTTTGTTCCTTGTAGTGTCTCTGTCTTGCTTTGGTGTCAGGTTATGCTGGATTCACAGAATGAGGTAGGAAGTGTTTCCTATACTACAGTGTTAGGGGAAAGTTTGGGAAGGATTGCTATTGGTCCTTAACTATGTGCTAGAATTTACTAGAGTAGCCAGCAATTCCAGGGCTCTTTTTTTTTTTTTAAAGATTTTATTTATTTACTCATGAGAGACAGACAGAGAGAGAGAGAGAGAAGCAGGCTCCCAAGGAGCAGGGAGTCCGATGCGGGACTCGATCCCAGGACCCTGGGATCATGACCTGAGCCGAAGGCAGACGCTTAACCATCTGAGCCACCCAGGCGCCCCCAGGGCTCTTTTTTATTGAGAGATTTTTATTAGTTATTCAATATGCTTAAATTTCTTTGAGTTAGTCTTGGTAAGTTTTATTCTTCTGGGAATTTGTCCATTTTATCTAGTTCTTAAGTTTTCTAAGACGGAACAGTTAATAGTACTTTCTTAAAATCCTTCATATTTCTGTAGAATCAGTAGTAAGATCCCCACTTTCATTTCTGATTTTAGTAATTTGAGTTCTCTCAGTCCATCTAGTTAAAAGATTGAAAAGATAATAAAATTGACAAAAAAAACAACGTTGGATTTCACGGATTTTCTCTATTGTTTTTATGCTGTTTCATTTATCTCTGCTGTAACCTTTATTGTTTCCCTTAACAAATTTGAGGTATTGGCTGGTGTCCTTTCTCTTCACCTTGTAGGACTCCCCTGAGCATTTCTTAGAGGGCAGGTCACAAGTTCCCTCAGCTTTTGAGTATCTGGGAATTTTAAAATTTATCCCTCATGTTTAGAAGGACAGTTCTGCTGAATATAGGATTCTGCATTGACAGTATTTCTCTTTTGGCACTTTGAAGATATCAGCCCACTGTCTTCTGGCCTCCAGAGTTTCTGATGACAAAGCTGATGGTAACATATTGATGATCCTTTGCATGTGACAGTTTCTCTTGTAGGCTTCCAGAATTCTCTTTTAACTTGGGCTTTAGAAAGTTTGGAGATAACGTGTCTTGATGTGTGTCTCATTGAGGTCCTCTGACTTGGAATTCCTTGAGCTTCTTGGATATTTATGTTCACATCTTCTATCAGATTGAGAAGTTTTCAGCCATTATCTCCGCACATAATCTCTACCCTGTCTTCTCTCCTTCTGTGAGGTTCCCAGACACTGGACAGTGTCCCCCAGTCCCTCAGGTTCTGCTTGGATTTGTCTTCAGAGAATCAGTGTTTCAGTTAATGGACTTTGCAGCTCCAGATTTTCTTTTTGGTTTCTTTTTAATGGTATTTCCATTTTGTTCACACACATTAACTTTCTCCACATCTCTCTTTAGTTCTTTGAGCATCTTTAAAACAGCTATTAAAGTCTTTAATATCTCTGCTGTTAGGCCCTTTTCAGGGACAGTTGTTTTTTTTTCTTTGAATGTTCCTATTTATATACCTTCATTTTTTTGTTGTTGAGGCGGAACACTGGACATTTGAATCTAATTATGTGGTAACTCTGGAACTCTTTTCTCCGCCTTTTCAGGTTTGCTGATTTTTGTTTTGGCTGTCTTTGTGCTGAGAATCCGTCTGAGGCACAAACTTAAGGACTTCTCAGGTCTTTTCTGAGCCTCTCCTTGGGCGTGCACACTTTCTAAGCTTCCCCTTCGATGCCCTTAGTTCTGCGCATACACAGCGGCCACCACGCGGCTGGAGGTGGGAGGCAGTTGCTACTGTGCTAAGAGCTGAAATTGACCAAAATTAATCAGAATTTACTGTCCCCAACTTCCCCGAGAAATTGGAAGCCTTCAGGAGACTGCAGAGTTCCAGAATAGTTACTTAAGACCGATTCTGTCGATGCAGTTGTTGTCCACACGGGGAGAGATGCGTGGTGCTTCACACCCTGTCATCTTTCCCGAATCCGCTCTTTAGATTTGTATGCTGATGGGGATGAGCAGTAGAGTGAGAAGCTGATGTGCCAGGGACGCCCACACTTGCTGGTGACGGGCTAAATGCCGCGGCTTCCGTGGCCCCCCTGCTCCCGGCTGCTGGGCGTGGTACATGCCACACACTCGGATATTCTTGGCGACAGTCGTGGAAGGCTGAGCCACATGGATCCTGCAGGTCTAACCACGGTCCCGATTTCTCCCCTGCAGTGCTACAACTGTGAGGAGGAGGCCATGTACCACTGCTGCTGGAACACGTCGTACTGCTCCATCAAGTGCCAGCAGGAGCACTGGCACGCCGAGCACAAGCGCACCTGTCGCCGGAAAAGATGAAGGCGGGCTTTCCGGGGGCCTCCGGCGCGCACTCTTCTCAGACACAGCGGTTTTTGTTTCCAAGAAGCCAAAATTGTTTAGAATTTGCTTCCCATTTTGCACCAGCCTTTAAACACTTTTCGTGAAGAAATTTTGCACAGTAGTTTAAATCTTTTGTTAATGCTCCTCCGGAGTTTTTCAGGGGGTAAAAGTAACATCAGTGGAGGGTATTATTTTAAATAAATTTTAATTGAGAATTTGTTGCATTTTCAGCAAATTTTAAAACATTTTTAGGTTTTACAGAGATTTTAACCTTTAACAACAGATCTTTAAAAAAACAACAGGTGAAGACAAGCAAGTTTAACAAAGACACATTTAAAATAGATCTGAATGTAAGAACTACAGAACTGTTTCAGAAATAAAACATACTACCTTGATGTGGAATTTATTTCTTAACCTTGTTGAGCTGGTTTTGTTCAGCTTAATTTACTGTTTAAAGGCATTATCTGTTGGTTATGCCAGTGGGTATATGATTGAATTTAGGGAACAGGGTTGACACAGCAGGTGCTAGTCCTGCATATTTTTTCTTAAATATTTCCCAATTGTGTTTTTCATTATTTCTTTTCAATATATAACTTTTATAACAAATTATTAGCTTTGATCTTGTAGTTTAAAATTGCAGGGAACTGGGGTAATCTTTTACTGAGCTGGATCTTAGAGAAAATGAATATTTAAATTTTAAAGTTTGCACATTTCATCTTTGTCCTAACGTGAGTGCTTGTAACAAGATAAACAAAAAATAAAAAGCCAAAAACTACCTTTATCCATCCATGAAATTATAGATGAGGCATACAAATTTCTTTAATGCTTCCCTTCCCTCCCCAAGTATCATCTGATTGCCTATTATCTGGTGTCACCTCGTATATTGTAAATTAATACTAAAAGGAAAGAAAGCACTTAAGTTTCACAGAGGCCGTTATGTTTGTAGTAATGGGTCATTGCCTACTAATGAACTCCATCACTGTACACAGAATGAAGAATAATGCATGTTAATTTTCTTGTATTAAAGATGCCGTGATTTGTAAAAAGTCTGTATTTTGCGGAATGTCTGGATTAAGAAGCATTACCAATAGGAATGGATCGATAGTTGAATAATGATTTTTTTATACATAGATATATAAAATTCAGCCAGGAAAACTTAAATTACTTTTTTTTTAAATCTCGCCATTTGTTTTTTCAAAGACTGAGCTTAGACCAAGTCAAATTCCCATTTATCATTTAGTTATTTTTAAAGGTTAGAGAAATAATTTGTAAATATTTATTTAGACCTTTGATATTTATTAAAGCAATTACACACCATGGAAGTGAGAGAATCAGGAGGAAAACCTTTTTAAAAGTTTTCTCCAGGTTTGTCAGGGTCACTCTAAAGATGAAAATGTAACTAAGTCTTCTGTGAAATAATCCTCCATCCAGTCCTGATGCTGTTGAGGTGGTGACACGAGTTAATCGACAAGCTGCTGCCTGGCGGCCCACTCAGCACCGCGCCTGAATAAGGCAGCGACTGGGCGTCCTGTTCCCCTCCCCCCCCATTGCTGTGTGATCGTCAGCGTCGCCATGGTGCCGTGGTCTGACTGAGACGTTGTAACCGAGAACACTTACCTTCTCTGATTGTTTTTCAAGTTTTAAAACTTCGATCCACCCCTATGAGAGCAAGTTATTGTGGAAATATTTTTGGTGTAAAATCATTCCAGAGTATGTACTATTTAACTGATAGCTGCATGAAAGTAAGATTCGTGTTACTTTGGCTTTTTTGTCTCCGTTGACACGGTTGCACATTTCCAAGTTACTACAGCGTGAAAACTGTGTGTTAAAAAAAAAAAAAAAACAAAATTAAAAAAAAGAGATTGTGGCCTGGTTTTGTAAAAGTTTAGGTAAAATTACAACTGATTGTTTTAGGAATCATTATTAAAAATTTTCTGCAAATCATAAAGCTATATCAAGGTGTTGAGCTTAGCCACTATGCACATTGTAATTTACTCATTGTGGCTGTCCAGTTCTATGATGCATTCTGGCATTTTGTAAGCTGCTCTGACTAGCAATATATAGATTCATTTAATGTGTTAACATTGGTTAATAAATGTATTTAAAAAAACTGGCTTTAATAAATTGGTTTGCTATAGGGGAATGGGTGAAACCCGCAAACACAGCCAGATCACATGGTAGTTTACCATCGGTGACTTCAGCTCCTGTGGAGGGTCTTACTCATTCACATAAACATTTGAGTTGACTTTCATCAGCCTTCAAGAGACTGAAAGTACTTTAACTGTTTTGTGAAAAATTTAGGCCCATTTTCATAACCCTTATGCTCGGCTGAACACTGACCACATCTTGCAACTCCATCCCATGACGCCCATGTCTGAGAAGGCCGGTGTCACCCCCCAGATCATCATGTAGTGCATGGCTTAGGCCTCACCAGTACCTCGTTCCATGGTTCTCGACTCCAGAAGTTAGGATCGCAGGAGAGCTTGTTAGGGCGTTGCTGGGCCTCACCCCCAGCATCTGCCCTGCTCACCACTTCCCAAGTGCTGGTGACATGGCCATCCCTTCATGAAAAGCCACCTACATTCACAAAATGAGCTGCATAAAATTTTAGTATTTCACAGATTCCTAGGGCCCATCTACAGGCTCCCCACACCCCAGAAGGATCCAGGTCCCTCAGGTTACAAATCCCAATCCATGGGATTGGACAGGCAGAAGTTTGATGGGCAGGGAGGCAATAGGGGCCTTGTTGACCCCCAATCAGACCCTCTCAGATTCGTGCATGCAGATCACCTGGGAATCCAACTAAAACAGAGTCTGACCCGGTAAGTTTGGGGTTGGTGGAGCTGGTGTTCTGCCGTTTCTCATAATCTTCCGAGTGATGTTGATTCTGCTGGCCAAGGGTCACAGCGGAGAGGCAGGGTGTCGACGGGCATGTACATTAACAAAGCTACTGCGCTAAATAAAAACCACAAATAATGCTGTCAGATGAAAACCTTTAATGTCGGGCACATAGGTAATTTTAAATTTTCTAGTAGCCATATTAAAAGGGGCAGGTGACATTCAATATAATACATCTTAATCTAATATGTCCAAAATATTTCAGTATATAATATACCAATTAGACATTTAACATGCTTATTTGGCACCAAGTCTTCAAAATCTAGTTGATAGTTTTAGGCTTTTAGCCATCTCCATCTGGACCAGCCACATTTCATTCACATGTGGTTGATGAGTATCTCAAAAAAGACCTTTGTCTTAAGTAAGGCCCCATCCCTGCCTTACCTGTAGGCAGTACTCATTAAGCAAATGTATATTCGAGAGCCTACTCTATACCCAGCAGCTGACAAGAATTTGCCAGAACCTGAGCTGAGGGGAGGCTCCTCGTCTGTTTCCGAGTCTGAGACTTAGAGTGTGACATTTCAATTAGGCAGCCCTGGAAAGGGATCCGAGGGATTGCTATGGCTCTACATAGGGTTTGAACACTTTTATCCAGTCCAACTTCTTAATCTCACAGTGGAGAGAAAGCTGAGGCCCAGAGCTGCTCAAAGTCGAGACCCATGGTCCCAATATCAGCCCCTTGAAGACTGCAGGTGGCTAAATAAAGTCTTGCAATGGTAACAGTCCCCATCTTCCAGGAACAGGGCAGAGTATAACTGAAGGTGTAGGACATTAAGGGTATTCAGAAGACAGTGTAAACAGCATTAATTTGTTCACTCGTTTAACAAATATTTGATCTACAGCATCTGTATTAGATGCTGAGTATATAATCACGAGGAGAATAGACATTTCCTGTCCCCATAGTTTATGATCTAGTGAAGGCATTCAATATATACAACATTCTACTTAAAAACCAGACTTTAGTGCAATGAGGAAAAAATACAAGACTATAGGATATAGAGAAACCATAAAACTTAGAAGGCAGAAGAATTGGGGAAGGCTTACAAATTTTATCTGTAAGGGTGGGCAGGAGTTGGCTAGAGAAGAAAGGCATCACAGAAGACCCAATATTGATTTGGGGATGACTCATTTTTCTCCTTTCTACTTTTACTATGCATATTATTTTTAAAATCAGGAAGAGTTTGAAAAAAATTCTTTGCTGAAGAGGTCTATGTCGTTAAGGGTCATGGAGAGTAACGAGAGAGATTTGATGTGGTTAAGGAAGCTGAAGGACAGGAAAAGGGGATGCTGTCATGGCGCTGGAGAATAATGAAGGGTTAACTGCACGGTGACTACAGAAGAGGGGGTGGTATGAGAAGATTAGAGAACCTGCTCTTGAGAAGTTTGTTAATGAAGGGGAAAAGAAAAACACGAGGGAAATTATGTTCAGGAGAAGAAGAGGAACACAAGACTGGCATCAGCATCATGGTGAGTGAGATGTTCAACATAGAATCAGATATCTATGCACCAACCAAAGTGCCTTTATGGTTGCTGTGGGATCCAGCAGCATGTGCCCAGAAGAGTCTCATCCACCTGTGCATTTGGTAACAGGCAGACACACTTCCCTATGGGCTGTGGAACCAATGGAGCAAAGAGCCTGCCCTAAGCCTTCTTGCCACATTCGCAAAAACACCTGGAGAGTGTTGACCTGGCCAGATACCTCCAGAAAACAGAGACTGCAGAAATCCAGGAACCCTGGAAGCATTTTGGTTCTCTGCTTTGCACCCCCAAGGAAAGACCACACAGGGCTGACTGGCAGCTGCAGTGACCTCTGTGCTGCAGAGGAGGAGAGCGGTCAGGAGACCCCGGCCACCCCAGTGGTGTAGGATGCAGCTGCAGAACCTACAGTCCCCAAGTGGGACCTCCATGGCTGGCAGGAGGAGGAGAGGAGGACAGGCGCAGAGAAGAATATTGAAGGGTGGTGAGCAGATGCAGTTCCTGATGACTGCACTCAGCAAGAAGTCCACCGGCAGCCTCTGGGAGCACAACACATGGGGGCCTCCGCACCAGCTACAGGGCATCCCCAATTCCCCAGAGCAAAACCCACACAACCCTGGGCTCTGCAGCTGCTCCCTGTGCTCCTTGGTAGAGCAGGCAGAGCGAGCTCTGAGATCAGAAAGGAGCCAGGATCTGGGATAAGGGAGAAACCGCAAACATTGCACTGCCTTCTGGAAAAGAGGAGAGAGGTTTCTAGTTTCTGAGCCAGTCAGCCGAATTGTAAGAACCAAAGAAGACATAAAGCTTAAGAATTCTGCCACGGAGAACAAGAAGACTGGAAGAGGTGTTCCCATCCAAAGACAAAGATGACCCAGTTAATAACAGCAACAACTAGAACACTGAAGGCAACTAACAAAGATTTAAGGAGGTGTCTGCTTCTTCAAAAAATGCAAGAACAACAATGCAAAAAATACAAGGAGCATGAAAAAAAAATCAAGAAAACATCACCATCAAAAGATAATTCTCCAATAACCAAGCTTAAAAGCATGGAATTTTCCAACCTAGTTAATAATTAAAAATAGTGGGCGCCTGGGTGGCTCAGTTGGTTAAGCGATTGCCTTCGGCTCAGGTCATGATCCTGGAGTCCCTGGATCGAGTCCCGCATCGGGCTCCCTGCTCGGCAGGGGGTCTGCTTCTCCCTCTGACCCTCCCCCCCTCATGTGCTCTCTCTCATTCTCTCTCTCAAATAAATAAATAAAATCTTTAAAAAAAATAATTAAAAATGCGGTTTTGAAGAAACTCAAAGAGCTATAAGAAAACTCAGGAAAACAATTCAATGAGACAGAAATCACAAAAAAGAACCAAGTAGAAATTGTGGCATTGGAGAACTCCACACATGAAATGAAAAAAATGCAATAGGGCACATCCTCAGTAGAGCAAATGGAAGATAGAATGAGTCAGAGGATCAGGGATTCTGAAATAACCCAATTAGTGGAGAACAAAGAAAACAGTGAAAAAGACTGAAGAAAGCCTTTGTGAACTCTGGGATTCAATCAGAACAATATTAGAATTCGGGTTCCAGAAGAAGAAGAAAGGGAGGAAGGGACAGGAAATTTATTTGAAGAAATCATAGCTGAGAACTTCCCAAACCCAAGGAGAGAACTGGACATCCAAGTTCGTGAAGCTAATAGATCACTCTAATATTTCCATGCAAAAAGAATGTTTTTTAAGACATATTATAATGAAACTGTAAAAAAAAAAAAAAGTAACATAAAGAATTCTAAAAGCAGCCAGGGGAAAAAAAGATTATAACCCACAAAGGAACCTTTAGTAGGCTCTCAGTGGATATCTCAGCAGAAACCCTATACACCAGAAAGGAGAGAGTGTAATGACATATACAAAGTGTTGAAAGAAAAAACCTGCCAGCCAAGAATGCTCTATCTGGCAAAGTTACCCTTCAGATATGAAGGAGAAATAAAGATCTTCCCAAACAAAAGCAGAGGGAGTTCATCACCACTAGATCTGCCTTACAAGAAATGCTGAAAGGATTTCTTCGAACTGGAGTGAAAAGACACTACTTATGACATAAAAACATATGAAAACATACAATCAGACTTAGGAAAACTCTAATTCTGTAATAGGATGATGTGCTAGCCATTTAACTATAATATAAAGGCAAAGAATATTTACTATAATTTGTTACTGAATACATAATATAAAAAGAGGTAATGACAAAATAAAGGGGAGAGTAAAATGTGAAGCTTTTGTATCTGATCAAAGTAGCATCAGCTAAAAGTGGACTGTTTTATCTATGAGATGTCTTATGTGAGCTTCCTGGTTACCATAAAGCAAGAACCTAGAGTAGATGCTCATAGGTAAAGAAAAGGAAACATGGAAAACCACCAGAGAAAATAAAAAATTTGCAAAGGTAGGCAAAAACAGTGAAAAAAAAACAATGGAAATACAAAACAACCAGAAGACAATAAGATGGCATTGGTAAATTCTTACATATCAACAGCAACTCTACATGTAAACAGATTGAGTTGACCAATCAAA